TCCCGGAGCCGGCTGGGCTTCGGAAAGGCGGCGGCCCCTTATCTGCGCCAGGCGCTGCCGCCTTGCAGTGAGATAGCTGGTGGCTGTCACCCGGCCTGGGGACACTTCGCCGTGCCCTGGCAGCGTGCGGCCGTGGGCAGCTTAAAATCGAGCGTGAGGAAGACGGCTTGTAAGTGGAGCTTTTGGTGGAGATTAAAGGCTCTTTGTGGATGGCAAAGGGATTTGCAGGACGAGAACGGTTTGAGGAGTGGAAGCGTCCCTCTGAGGCTGCACGCTGTGGGTCTCCTCTGGATTGACACCAGGAATTTGAGCGACTGACCCGCTGCAGAGGCGGGCAGGGTCAGGGCCTGCGTGCCCTGGGACCAGAGCCGGTGTGAGCCAGCGTTGCTGCTGGAAGAAGGCGTCCTGGCTGCTTCGTCCTGCTGCAGTGCTTGTTCTGTGACCCAGGGCAGGGCTGGCTCCGGGTTAAAGCTGGTCTCAACCAGGCTGGTTCATAACCTGGTGACGGTCAGGCTCACCTCTGTGCTCGCACCAGCAAAGCGACAGTGGCGGAGGGCTGGCTTTGGCCACCTTTACACCCACCCTCGGGTCAGTTGAAGGCTTGTCTGGGGTGTTGGGAGCAAAACGAGCTCAGCTACGAAACTCGTTGGCTGAACCTCTTTGCTGCTCAACTCAGAGCCCTGACCAGCGGTGCCTCCTCTGGAGTTTTAAGCGTTAATTCATTCAGAGCTTGTGCTGCGAACAGGGCACGGCAGCCTGCTGCCAGTAAGGCCAAGTGATTTTAAAATGACTCGCTGATAGTTGGTTGCTCTGAGCAAGAGAGGTAAAATGGGAGTGCTGCAAAGGAGGAATTTGGAGAGCATCACGAGCCTTCTGGCCAACGCTGATTTTCTGCGTCTTGCTGTGAAGAATATGTGGGGTAAAAGCAAGTTTTAGAAGTGGCCTGTGAGAGCTGGGCCTTGAGCCCTCACCTGCGCTTTGGGGGAGAGGGGGTGCCAGGTATGTTTACTCTCCAGGCGTTTAGTGCGGAGCAGTTCTGTGCTGGTGCTTCGTGGTCCTCACGCCAGAGAAGGGTTGATTTTTGCACTGAATTACTGGGTAGCGATGGCTTCTGTGTGTGTGGTCTGTGCTGGGCAACATACTAGATGCCGTCAGGGGTCCTGCGCTACGAGCCTGAGGTTGAGCTCATCTGCTTAGAGACCCACCTAGGCAGACATGTCACTTCTGCGTGGAGACTGTCACAGGGAAGCGAGTCCTCTGGAGGGAGGTTTTCCAGCACCCCAGTGGCGTGGGGGAGAAAGTTGAAGGAGACAAAGCCAGATGACCTTGTTTGGCCTCTTGTCAGTGAAGCCTGAAACTCTGAAAGCTTTTTGATGCCTTGTGCGTGAAATGTTTTGCTACGACCTCATGGTCCAGTCCCTTAAATACTTCTTCGTGGTGAAGCTGGGCCTTGGTTGGAGCCACAGGGTGTGGGGTGGTGCAGCGGTCGCACGTTGCATGGCCTGTGCTTAACGGATGGAGTCCTGACCATCGTGAGGGATTCTCACCTTGTGCCCTCGCCGCAGTTATTTGCCTTTGAGATCTTGAGTGTCCCTTAATGCGAGTAAGGAGGACCTTCAGACACACTTGCTGCTTTGAAGTGTCGATCACTGCCTGATGTCAGCTTGACAGAGTCGAGATGAGACCTAGCCCCAGGTATGATGACAGCTGCTGGGTGTCTCTGTTGGCAGGTGAAGGAGCTGGTTCTTGATAACTGCCGTTCGGACGATGGGAAGATCGTTGGTCTCTCCTCAGATTTCGAGAACCTGGAGTTCCTCAGCATGATCAACATCAACTTGCTGTCTGTCTCCAATCTCCCCAAACTCAACAAACTCCGGAAGGTGAGTCAGACCTGTAGTCCCATCTCCAGCAGTCCTTGCTCTGAGACTTCAGTTGTCCCTGAGGTCAGTTATTTTTCCTGTATTGGCCAGAAAAAGGCCGTTTGGTTTGGCTTTTTCCTCTGTAGCCTACAGTCTGAGCCAGTGAGAGAGGTTGTTTTTTAGCATGCCCCAAAATGCTTCTGAGCTTATTATACGTCTCGCATCCTTTCTCTCTTGCTTTTGCTGTGGTGCTACTGTCAGAAGCACAGTTTACCATCATGAATATTTTGGGGTTTAGAGCGTGTACCCCTGTGTCCCGCAGCAGGGAGGTGCGTTACCGCAGGAGAGGCGTTTCAGGTGAAAACTTGAACTGCTGCTCTGTAGCGTGGTCTTAACAAACAAGGCCTGGAACTTGGGTGCTCCTTGCACTCCAATTGCCAGGGCGATTTTATTCCCCATGTTGGAAGCTGAGACACTTTGTGACCGTGTGACGTTCCCTCCTGGCAGCTGGAGCTGAGTGATAACAGGATTTCTGGTGGCCTTGAAGTTCTAGCAGAGAGAACTCCTAACCTGACACACTTGAATCTAAGTGGCAACAAGATCAAAGACATCAATACCCTGGAGCCCTTGGTGAGTGGGAGGCTGTGCTGGAGTCTTAAGGGGTGACGTTTCCTTTGGGGAGCCCGTCTGTGCAGCAGAAGTCCAATGTCTTGGTAACTGTTCCAACAGCACTTCGTGGTTCTGATGGGAACAGATGAGTGGGTCCAGTTTGAGGCTGGGCTAATAGTTAATGGCTCCTCTGTCTGGAAAACCAGCAGCCAGTTGCTAAAAGAAGCGTGAGATTGGGCTGGATGAGTAAAACTGTGGATGCAGTGCTCAGTGTCCATCTGAGAAAGGACCGTTAATGGGTCGGATGCAGTCTGAGGTAGGTGGCACCTGGTGTGTCATGGAGATGAGTTCCTGGGCTGGGACCCCCTCGCCCTGGGTGCTGTCCCAGCGTGTGTTGCAGGGGGTTCCTGTTGCATCTGAGCTGTCCCAGAGAAGGCTCTGGCCTTGTGATCTGGACTCTGTAGCTGAAAGGTCTGATCTAGGGCTCATTAGCTGTTGCTTTTGGTCCCTCCATCCCCTCCAGAAAGAGCCTGAAACTGTTTTACTCCTCCTTTGCTTGGCCCGGTGCATGGTGCGATGGCCTGAGCGGGAGAGCTGCTGTGGCTGTGCCGGAAGGCACACGGGTGCAGTCTGCAGGTCTCCCCGGGTTGTGTTTCTGGGTGTTTTGCCTGATGTTTTGGGCAGGATGAGTCTGGCTCGGTGATTCCCCCTGCTGGGGGAGCTGGCCTTTCTGTGCTTGTTGCCCACCCTGTTCAGAAGGGAGTGAGATTTGCAAATGGTTTCACAGGGATCTGGCTCCGAGGAGAGGAAAGTAGGACAGAGGAGCTGAAAAGAAATAGTCTTTTCCTGCAGTTAGCAAGAGCAACACCTCCTCTCCATCTGAGGAGCACATGGTGCAAATAATGCATGCAAAGACACTTCTGTGCTAGATCTGGGTAGCAAACCAGCTGTCCTCTGGTGGCTGCCTGATCTTCAGACAGTGTCAGCTTGTGTATTGATCTAACAAATTGATCTTTGCAGAAAAAGTTGCCAAACCTCCACAGTCTGGACCTCTTCAACTGTGAGGTGACGATGCTCATCAACTACCGGGAGAGTGTGTTCACCCTTCTGCCCCAGCTCACCTACCTGGACGGATTTGATGCCGATGACCAGGAAGCCCCTGACTCAGACCCTGAAGCAGATGGGGATGGGCTGGAAGATGAGTATGAGAATGGGGAAGGTGAGGATTTTCTCCTCTTGGTTTTCTTGCCGGGGAACAAGCCCTTTTCCCCTTGTGCATAGTCAGGTTGCTAAATAAACGTTGATTATAACTTGCCACTGAAGTAGGGGCTGGCTGGGTAACGCCGCTCCCCCCTTTGGCAGGCTGGGTGAGCAGGCAGACGGGCAGCGAGGTGCCGGCGCTGTGCGCTTCCCGCCCGTTGCTCCCGCAGCACTGGGGCTGGAGGGACGAGTATCTTGCCTGGGATAGCGAGTATTTGGGAACCGTAACACTTACCTCCCTCTGCTTTCAATAGAAGGTGAGGAAGAGGATGATGACGACGAGGAAGATGATTTGGATGAAGAAGTCATTGATGACGAAGAAGATGAAGATGATGATCTGGAAGGTGAAGAGGAGGAGGACGGAGTAGACGATGAGGTGAGGCTTTCTGTCATTGCTCTAAACGTGCAGCACCACGGTGCTGTTTGGTGGCGCGTCTGTCCGTTCATCTGGTGACCCCCGTGACCAGACGTCACCGATGCCCCCGTGGGCGGATCTGAGGAGCGCTGCCGTGCTCTCTGCCTTCTCCCTTACACCTTTTGACTCGTGGTCTGCAGAGTTGGCCAGTGCAGACCTGCTTTATTGCTCACCCTGGTGCTTCCCGTGGCTTCAAGTGATGAAGCCGTACGGCCCCTGTGTGGGGCTGCGAGAAGCTGTTGAGGAACCGGCAGCTTCTGCCTGCTGGGCTTGTGCCTGCCGCCCTGGGGCCGGGGTAGGGCGGGAGCAGGAAGATGTTGCTGTGGAGTTACACCTCGCTCGTGGGGTTGTGGTTCTGGCTACAACGCGTCTTGTTTTGACTCCAGGAGGAAGACGAGGAGGAAGATGGTGAGGATGATGAAGAAGATGAGGCTGATGAGGGTGAGTCGGATCCTAACAAACCAAGTGCTTGCAAAAACTGTCTCAAGAGTCTCACGCGTTTGCTGGTTTTGTGGAGCTTCCCAAGCTCCGGTGCAGCGCTGCTGCTGCTGCTGTCGGCAGCTCTTCCCGGACAGCAAGTGCGGCGTTTCTGCCTGCGGGCGCTGCTGGAGCTGTTGTTTCTGCCGGGGCTGACTGTTGAACAGTGGTTATAGCCAAAGGGCCGCACCGTCATGACAGGGAAACGGGTGTCAGTACCTCCTGATACCAACCCCGCTGGGTAAGTGCCAAATATTCAAGAGGCAAATGGCCTAGAGAGCCAATTTTAAGGAGCTTGAACTGATAGTCCGTGCAGGAGCAGGGCTTCTGTCACCGAAACGTGGTCGCAGCATGCATGAGGGAGTGGTTTTGGAGACATGTTCCTGTCCTCTTAGCTGTGGAGAGGAGGGTACACGTGAGCTTCTTGACTTGAGTCCAGACTGTTCTGGTTACAACCAACTGTAAACACCTGGATTAATGTTGACAGAATATAGTGGCTCCTGTGACTTCAGATGAGCTTGGTCAGAGGTGACTGAATTCTGCAGACGCTGCGTTTTTGGGGGTGCTCAGCCAAAAAAGCCCGTTTTCAAGCAGCTGTTGAAATGTGGGATAACTTGGAGGGCACAGAAAATAGTTAATGCCTTGTGCTAGTCCAGGCTTTTCTGGGTGCCAGGAGAAGCTGGGCAGGGTGGTTCTCCGCTCTGTAATGGTGCCAGTCTAGTCTGTGCTTGTTCACCAGCAGGCTGTGGCTGACGCGGCTTGAAGCCACAGTTCAAATGCTGTTCCGCAAGACTGAGCCCAGCTTCACGCTTCACCTCTTTTTGCAGACCTTCCGCGAGGGGAAAAGAGAAAACGAAATCTAGAGGATGAAGGAGAGGAAGATCCAGAAGACGAAGAGGACGATGAGGATGACTGATCCGAGCGAGCCAATCAGTTTTACAGACTATGACTGTGCTTGTCTTAACCTCCCCGTTGTGTCTATGTGAGACTGTAAATCCCTGTCTCCCACTCCTCCCCCCTTTGTATGGCTGCAGCGTCCACAATATATTTTTTTAAGATGTAGAATACTGTAGGCATTCAGGGGAATCTTCCATACAAGGCTCACTCTCTCACAAGTATCTCATGACCAAAGGCTTTCTTTGAAAGAAAAAAAAAAAAAAAAAAAAAAAAAAAAACCCAAAAAAACACACACAAAAAAAAAAAAAGAAAAGAAAAGAAAAAAATTCCTCCTAGGGTATCTTTCGTGTCTGAAATCAGCCTTGCCACACTGGACCCAGAGCTCCAGCTCGCCACCCTGCCTGCCAGCCGAGGAGGCGTGTTTGCTCTCCGCCCGCCCTCAGACCAACTTTCTGAAGACGCTTGAGCCACCTTGAGCAGTGGGTGCGAATCTGGTTCGTCTAAAATGGACTCCAAGCGAATGATCGCTGAGGTCTCTCTGATCAGAAATAATGGTGATGTGATCTCTGGAGATGCTTGAAGATACTTTAGTGCTGGGGATGCGGGGTGCCTGGGGTCTTGGGGG